GCTTCCGGCCCTCATTCAGCCAGGAGGAGGCAGGAGAAGAGGGAGGGTAAGTTGCTTCCTCCCTGCCTCTCCCCACCCCTGCCTGCCTGGGGCCAGGGAGGGCCTTCGCGGGGCTTCCTTGCACTCCCGCCGGCCTTGCAGGTCCACTGCCGGGCCCCTCATGGGGCTCGGCAATGGAGCTGCAAGGCTGGCGCCGGCGGCTGGGACCGTTGGGGGCGGGGTGTGTGGCCTTATGACACACTTCCAGTGATGTCAGGGGGTGTGGCATATGCTAATGAGTTATGCTAATGAGTTCCCCTGGCTCTTTTTCTACGAAATGACCCCTGGCGACATCACTTCTGCTGTGTACCAGAAGTGATGTCATCATGTCAGCAATGTCATGGCAATGCTCTGGTGTCTGGGCAAAAACTCTATAGTACAAGCCATTTTTACCATAGTTTTTGCCCAAATACCAGAGTGACTTTACCATGTCACTGGCAATGTAGCCCTGGTTTCCCTCCCACTGCTGGTAATCCCCCCTCCCATCCCTTGCTGGTTGCCATAAGGGACATAGCAACCCTACTGAAAACTGGAAAAATCTTTGGCATTTCTTTTCCTACTTAATCTCTATCTTATTTCTGTAATACTCTATATATGCCAATCTCTTCTGCCTTCTCCTTATTTGAATAAATTTTTATTCCAATTTTATATATTTTTAAAGCTTCAATAATTTTTTTAAAAATATCTTTAGCAAAAATGAGGATAATCCAGCTGCACATGGCTTTTGTCCATGCCTTTAAACAACTTGGTTTGATTGTGGGCCTCCCCAGAGTCATATACAGTGGACCCAATGTATAAGGCCCAGAGCATAGGTAAGATAAGAGGCCTTAAGAATGTATCCTATAGTCTTCAGTGTTGTTACAAAGGTTTCAGAGGTATATTCTTGCCTTTCACTCTTTAGTTCATGCCACAAGACCAGCATCTTGTGTAAGTGGTGGGATATGAATGCTCTTTGGTTACTTCTGCAGCTCTGATTCCTTGCATGTCTACCTGTCAACTGGCTGGGATATGCTGATGAGGAACTACCAAGTCCACTTGGATATGGGTGTTGCAGTTCATCATCCTGCATATATATCTTCCTCCAACCAAATGAGAGACAGGCTGAAGAGCCACATCTGCAGAAGCAACTGAAAACTCTCATTTCTTTGTACCCAGATAGTAAGATGTGGGGAAATCCTGATCTTTTATTCATTTTGGTTGCTCTGCTTGTCAATCCCACGTACAAAGCTCCAAAAATCCTTTCAGGATGTCTGCCCTCAGCTTCAAAAAAGTCCATTTATCTGTGAAATAACCATCAAAAATATAAATATATTTGACAAATATTTATTTACCTTACAGCATTTTGCCTCTGGACATTATGAAAGTGCTTTACTTGCCATCACTGCTGGAGATGCTGAAGATTACTGAAAAGAAGAAACCAATTTTTGCGGGGTGGGTGGGTTTATAAGCGGCAAATGTTTGAATAGTAATCCAAATGGAAGACCACATTTCACTGCCTACTATTATTGTAATATGACCTATAGAGTTAGGAATTATTTTTAACAAGTACACATCTTTCAATTAACAGACTGTTTCTCATCTCTGACTTCACTACCCATCTAACCCATTGTTCCACAGTAGCACTGTGGGAAGATCAATTTCCTAACCTTTTGTCTCTCCATCCTCAATTCACTGCAGGGCTCCTATTTGTTCAGGTCTGTTTCTAAACTGGAAATGGACTGTGGAAACAGATCCACTACTTAACATGTTAACCACATAGTCTTTTCTTAAGAAATCCTGGCTGATGCTGTGATACACATACACCTACTCAATGTAAAATTCAACCTTTACAAGAGCTTAGAGAAACAAAACTACAATAGATCCAAGTACTCTGATTAGGCTGGTCTGTTGATCAGAATTCTGATGACCTGATCCTTCATACTACTGTGCTAACACATCTGCTCTTAGGTCAGGGATAACATACCTGGGATAACATAATTATCTTCTAATTCCAACTGGCAACCATGATACAAAGTTTCCCTCCCTATCCTCCAAGTGCATCCCATTTAAGTCCTTTGAACTGTTTCGTGATGCAGTGACTGAGAACGATAATACCACCTTCTATGTCTGCTCCTTAACAGTAAGGATCTGTGGAAAATAGAGCAAAACTGGATACCCGTGATATATTTCCCAAATAATAGTGCCATTTTAGCTATTGCAATGCAAATTGAACAGAACATTGAAAAAACTGGACTGCCAAGCAACATAGATTAACATTTGCACAAACCTGCCAACCCAAATATTATACAAAGAAATCCCACATATTTTAACTATTGTAAAACACCCTGCCCTCTTTTCCCCAGTGTTGCTGTTGGATTTGTAATTGTGGTCTTGCTTAAGCCTTTTATCAAACAAGAAAAATGATGACCACAATCCTAGTTTCAGAAATATTCCCTTATTCCACAAATTAGAAAAGCAGTTGGCTTGACACTAAATAAATCTACAATAATCATGAAGAAATGACCTGTATTGTTATTATCTATATAGTGCCATCAGTGCTGTATACAGAGTACAAGATGGTTTCTGCTCTGAGCTTCTTGAGATTTTACAACCCAAAATCTGACATAAAGAAGACAACAAAGGAGGGAGAGAGGGAGATGATGAACAAAGGGGAAAACAGGAGAAAATACACTGATTCCAGTTACCTGAGCAGTTGGTCTCTAAGGTGCTACTGGATTCAAATCTGCTCTCTGTTTTTCCTAATGCAATAAAGAAAGCACTTATTTGACTTCTGCTCAAGAAGCCTTCTTCACCCAAGGATGATCCCAACAGTTGTAGACCTGTGTCTAACCTACCATTTCTTGGCAAGGCAACTGAACAGGTGGTGATGGAGCATCTCTAAGTATTCCTGGATAACACATCGGTGCTCGATCCATTCTGATCTGGCTTCAGACCCAGTTTTGGAAGAGGGATGGCATAAATAGCCCTAGTGGATTATATCTATACAGATATGAATAGGGAAATATCTATTTGTTGATTCTCTTAGATTAGGCAGTAGCTTCTGAAATGGTGAATCATTTCATTTTGTTGGCCTGTTTAGAGCATCAGTCCAGACTGAGGGCTGTAATACTCCAGTGCTTTCAATCTTTTGTGGGCCATCATACTAAGTGAGGTGCCACTGCGGATGTTGAGTAGGCTCTCTGGGAGTTGACATGTGTGGTGAACCAGGGGCTGGTCTTTTCACCAGTGGTTTTACCATCTCTGCCCTGGGCTGTTGCCTGGACTCTATGGTCAGGCGGCTAAAGGGAAACAAGCAGAAGCTAGCTGCTAGATGGGAAGGCTGATAGTCAGGGTAGGGAAACGGATTGGCGCCATTGCCTAAAGTGCCTTCTTTCATACACCTGGTTCTCAAACTGGCTCTTTATCTAGATTCGGTCAACCTGGCCACACTGATACATAGCACTGTAGCCTTAGGATTGTTTTTATAACGTCATCAAGATTTTAAAGTTGGTCTGTTGACTAAGTGTGAAAAAGGTGCTACACAAGTATTTTAATAAAAACATTAAATAAAGGGGACAGCAAGAGAGAAAAGGCAAAGGCATCTGAGGAAGCAGAGAGCTGAGGGCAATAGAGACAGAAAAGGCTGCAGGCAGGAATATCAAAATATGAGACGAGAGACAGAAGAGAGCTAAGCCCATGAAGGGCTTAAAATGTAAAGAGTTCAGGCTGGATCCAGGATTGGACAGGAAGCCAGATACAGTTTTAAGAAGGACTGTCACATTGTCAGAACAATGAGAGAGGTGAATGATAGCAGAGTGCTAGACAGATATAAGGGAGCTGAGGTACAACAATGGAAGGCCAGAAAGAGGGAAGGTACAGAAGACTTGACAAGAGATGACCACAGGAATCAAAGTTTTTCCCAAGAGCACAAAGCAGAAGTATTTTTGCAGTACTGTAATGTGTGACATAACTTTTTTTTTTTACCACGCTCCTAAGGACAAGAGGGTTAATGCCTAACAGCCTACTAGGAGAGAAAAGGCAAGAGGTACACTGTTAGCCTCCAAAATCCTTCCTCCCAATACTTTTTTTACACCATCAAGATTCTATTGACTGCATTTGTAGGTTAGCCTCATTAATGCTAGTGGAATTTTGAGTGGTCCACATGTAGTTATTCATATGTTAATCTGTTCAAATATAAAATGAGTGTTGGCATAAGGTCTATTTTTTATTTTAAACAGAGAATAGCCAGTTTTGTTTTAGCTGTAACAGACAAACACAGCTACAGTTCCAGCATTTATTATCATGTGAAAGGGACTAGCAGTTTTTGCCAGAAGAGTTACTGGATCAGGACAGCTAGCTCTCTGGTTGAATGAGGATATGCAACGATCACTATAGAAGGATGTTTTCAAAGGACACCCCAAAAGGCAAAGTGAAAAAAAGCTGTATCCTAGAGCTACCTGCTGTACAGTTGCAGCCACTTATTAAATAGCTCCCATGTACAGAGAAGATAGAATGAGTTGGATAGTTGTGTTGGTCTGAAGCAATAGAACAAAGTTTGAGTCCAGTGGCACCTTTAAGACCAACAAAGTTTTATGCAAAGTATAAGCTTTCATGTACATGCACACTTCTTCAGATACAGAGAATACTTGTTTCACTGTATCTCTGAAATAGTGTGCATCCAGACAAAAGCTTATACCTTGCATAAAACTCTGTTGGTCTTAAAGGTGCCACTGGATTCAAACTATGTACAGAGGAGGTAAGGCAAGAGCTAGAGCTCCATGACCACCCATTAATAAAATTAACTAAGTCCTTCCCCTTTACCTCTGAGGCAGAAAAAAATGGGGCAAAATTTACTTTATTTAAGGAGCTGTGAAAAGAAGACCTGTATAGTAATGACCAGGGGTCATTTCCTGCAGGAGCGCACAGGAGCGGAGCTCCAGCAGTAAAGAGCCCAGGGGGCGGGCACATGCAACAAGCCCCACCCCCTGCTCCCAGCAGCCCTCAGTCAGAGCAAGAAGCAGCCAGGTAAGTTGCAGAGCCCCCCCCCCCCCGGCCCCCCCGTCGAAAACAGTCCAATAGACCACTTAAGAACAAGTTTTATTCAGGTACAAGCTCTCCCTCCTCTGTGAGGGCAGATCTGCACATCCCTCCCCCCCCAATAGCTAGCAATCCAAAACAGTCCAGTGGAGCCTGAGCAGTGGGTGTTGCCTTCTGACACACTTCTGGTGATGTCAGGGGTGTGTGACATATGCAAATAAGTTACACTAATAAGTTATGCTAATGGGCTCCTGCACCCCTTTTTCTACAAAATGACCATTCCTTCAGGTGGTCAGCTGTGTTGGTCTGAAGCAGTAGAACAAATTTACAGTCCAGTGGCACCTTTAAGACAACAAAGACCATTCCTGCAGTCCAGCAAGACAACAACACTACAGTAAGGTCATATGTAAAAGGACTGCAACTTCCAGTCAATTTTTTAAAATGAGCAATTAAAATTATGTTCCCAATTAATCAGGCAGCAAGTTTTTGGATTAAAACAATGTTTTTAGTATAGGTATTAAGATTGCTGATAGCAATCACAATCTTTAGTGGGGCAAAATCCTAAAGGAGAGAGAAGACATCTGCTGCATCACACAATAAATCAGGTTTTAAACACTAGTTTTTAGCGTTTTTCCAGAGCACGTACCAGTCTCCTAAAAATCCAAATGATTAAATAATAATTATTTAATTAGGCAATCTCCTTTACAAAAGTAAATCAACCTTGGTAGGAACAGAGCAATAGGGAAACCATGACAATGCAACTATTCAGGATGAGCTGTGTGTCCCACGTGACAACATTTCCCTGTCCTATTTGGACGAGCACTAAGACCAGCTCGCTCTCTGCCAATCGCGTTGAATAAATAGACGTACGTAACGTTTCAGCCCTGTCCATCAGAGCCGGACTCCTGTTGCCAAAGCGCTTTTCTTCTCCCATGTCAGAGGCGAACTTGTATTTTCATTGGTAGTAAGCGCTGCCAATTTGGAACGGTCTTCCAATAGGAAAAGGTGGAAGTTACCCGTTCCATTTTCTGAGCGGTCAGTAAAGCCGTCGACCGTATTCCGGGGAGTTTGTCAGTTAGCGGCAGTTGTGAGTTCGAAGAGGACAGCAGTTTGTGGTTTTGGGGGTGAACAGTATTAGGGGCAAGATGACTGGGAGAAAGCGGGTTAAGCCCGCTGGGTTTGTTTGAGAAAGAAGCAAAGAACGCCCCTCCTCCTCCTCCCGAGGATACCGCCGTAGAAGCCCAGGAATCTGAGTAGTTTGGGAGGCCTTTCTGCGGGCGGACGCATGCGCAAATGGAGGGGACCCTGACCTGCGCCGTCTGCCTGTCGCTCTTCGAGGAGCCGGTCACGCTGCCGGTCTGCTCGCACAACTTCTGCCGGGCCTGCGTGGCCGCGTGTCTGAGCCAGGCCCGGAGACCCGCCGAGCAGCCCCTGCGGCAGCCTCCGCAAAGCCATGAGCGGCCCCGTCCTCCGGAAGCCGAGCAGGGCTCCGCCGCCCCCGCTTCGGACAGCAACAGCCTCTCGGTGCCCTGCCCGCTCTGTCGGAAGCCCTGCGCGCTGCCCGGGCGCCACGGCGTCGCCGCCCTGCCGGTCAACACGACCCTGGCCGAGGTGGTGAAGCTGTTCAAGGCCGGCCGCGGCGGGGCGAAGGCCGGCGGGGGGGAGGCGAGGGCGGCGGTCCCTGCCTCGGCGCCCCGGCTGGCCGGGCAGGACGTCCCGTGCGAGAAGCACCCGGGCAAGCCCCTGCAGCTCTTCTGCCGGATGTGCTGCCGCCCGGCGTGCGGGCAGTGCGTCTCCGAGGAGCACCAGGGGGTCTTCCACTCGGTCAACCTCATCAGCGCCGCTTACCAGGAGCAGAAAGTAAGTGCGCGGGAGAGGCAGGCGAGCGCTCCGAGAGGACTGTAGCCTCGTCCTTAGATACTGGGGCCGCGGGAATCGCTCACAAAAGGGCTGGGCAGTCCTGAAACATGATTGCCACGGCGCCGTGTTTGGGGATGTGCCGATGCAGTTCTCCTCTTCCTTTGAAGGCGCCCTCCCTCTGAGACAGCCAGGGATGTTGGGCTAGCTGGACCACTGCTCTGATCCAGCAGGGTTCTTCTGCTCTTGCTCAGGAAAGTAAATCAGTAAAATGAAATTATAAAAACAGTTTATTTTTATGTATGTATTTAATTCATCTGTACTCTGCCTCTCTCCAATGGGAACCCAAAGCTGCTTCCCTCATATTCCATTTTATCTTCATCACAACCCTGTGAGACAGGTTATGCTGAGAGAGTGACTGACTGGGCCAAGGTCACCCAGTGAGTTTCCATGGCAGAAGGGGGGGGGGGTTGAACCTGGGTTCATCCCTACATTCTGAACTGCCACACCACAGTGGCTCTTTATGAAAGCAACTTTAGAGAATACTCAAAGAATACTGAGGCTAAAAACAGACCATAAAAACAACTTTAAAGATGGCATCCCTCTATTAAAAACTTGAGTAGAAATGTGTTTTGGCTTGGGCATCTAAAGAAGAGTACAGTAGGTGCTGAGGAAACTTCCTAGAGGAGGACATTCCAGTGGCATGGAGCCTCCACTGAAAAAAACCTGCAACCTTCAGAAAAAGAGGTGGAGTAATATTTTGGAAGTAATTCTACAAAATAAAGAAATCGTGTTCTTGATTTTGCCAGTGTTTGTCAGGTCTGATCATCCAGTTTGAAAATGCTGTTACCTCTGTGTGTAGGTAGGGAAAATACCATTTTAAATAATATCCTAAAAGTTTATGAACCCAGTGAAGTCAGATTCCTCTGTGTATGTTTTTACCGTTAAGCTAAATAGTTGTAGTAGTGAATGTAGTTGTACTTTTCAAAACATTTATTTAAATCTTGTTATAAATAAACACCTGTTCTACAGCTGAACTTCTTCAGCTACCTGAAGGAAATAAGAAAAATTAATGAACAGCTGGTAAAGGAAGTTGCAGCTTTCCGAAATGACATGGAGGTAAGATGAAACTCAACTTATCCTGGAATGTACTTAAATAAATATTTGCTGTGCATTTGTCTGCAGTGCTTTTATTATTGTACATATATCTAACAAACATTGGTTTCCATTTCCATGTTTGAGTCTTTCTCAAACTTCCCAGTGTAATATATCTGCACAAAATCTTATCCCTGCATTGCCATTGTTCCTGTTCTTCACTCGTCTTAAGCAGCATTCCTCATCTTTTATAAGGAAAATTAAATGTGAGCAAGGTTTGGAAATGTTATTCTGTACTTAAGGGGCCAGTGTTTGTATTTATATTTTAGTGTACCTAAACCTACACTGGTATTTCCATTAGTATTTGTACACACACACACACAGACAAAGCTGCCTTTATACTGATTGAGGCCACTGGTGTGTCAAGGTCGATATTATCTACTCTTGACTGGCAGCAGCCCTTCTGAATCTCAGTCGGATGTCTGTCTACCTAATCCTTTAATTGAAGATGCTGTGGGAAATGACCTGGTTATTGAAAAATGTGAGTTGCTGTTCATTTGTAAAAAGTAAAAGTTTCACTTGCTCAGCCATGTTTGAATTTGAACTTCACCAAGAAAAGACCATTTTCAGACAGCAGTAACAGAGAGTTGGTAGTTCTAGTTTATTTTGGCTCCATCATGAAACTTCATAGTACATATTTTAAAAAAATGGTTTCTGTAGTTCCACGCATAGTGGGAGGGAAGGTGGCATGATACAGCGCAATCTCGTCAGATCTCAGAAGCAGTGTTCCCTCTAAACTGAGTTAATGTGAGCTAGCGCACAGTTTTTTAGTCTCCAGCTCACAGATTTTTGTCTTAGCTCAGGAAGACTGGCTCCAGAGCAGACTAATTTATGCAGTAGCCAAATTGTTCACTCACAATTTTAATGCCAGTAGCTCACAAAGTAGAATTTTTGCTCACAAGACTTCACAGCTTAGAGGGAGCATTGCTCAGAAGCTAAGCAGAGCCAGCCCTGGTTAGTACTTGGATGGGAGGACTCCAAAGAAGACTGCAGAGGAAGGCAATGGCAAGCTACCTCTGGGGTTTCCATAATCTGGCTATGACTTGAGGGCACTTTACACAAGTTGCACGTATAATTTTCAAAACATCATTGAAATGTACTCTCTAGAGTTGAAGCGTGAGAACAAACTGATGAGGATACTATTTTTTACTTTTGTGGCATATGTTTTTAAGTGTTCCAAAGCTTGTGCCATACATGTTTTAGTTGACTAGCCTTAGGCACATTCAACTTTCTAATGAACACTAGGCTCTGTAACCTGAAAAACATCCACCACTGGCTATAGGGAAATCTGATTAGGCAGTCATACCTGTTCAGTTGTTCAGTCAGTAAAGTGTTAGCATTATAAAAGATTTCTATATTATAGAGGATTTCTATATCAGCCATAGCTTTGCCCTTTTTATTTCTCACTTTTTAGTATCCATATTTCCATCAAAGAAACATAACGAAGGAACTGTTTCATTGAAATTTAGGCTTGGTTTGGGCTGAATAGAGGAGCACCAATAAAGTATACATGTTGTGAATATAATGGGAAAAGTGTTCTTGTGTGCTTCCAGGGTGAATCTCTGCATCACCCTGCCTTGGGATTCATGTTAGTGCCTCTAATCATGAAATACTTTTCCCATGTCTATTCTCCATCATTTCATTTTGGTTCCATGAGACACACAATGCATATGTATTCTTAGAAGAAAATACCAACGGGGGTCTAAATTTGTATAATAAATACTTGTTGAATCTACTCTTTTCAGACACAAAAGCAGAAAGAAGAAAAGATGATTAAAAGACAATTTGAATATATATCTAAGACCCTGGAGATGAAGAAACAACAGTTGCTTGATAGTCTTGAAGGTCAAAAAGAAAAGAGGGAGAAGGAATATGAAATATGGAAGAAAATGAAGGATGGTTACAGGAAAACAATTGAGAACTATCTGAGTGAGTGTGAAAAAATTATAAATGAATGTGATCCCCAGCGTTTCTTAGAGGTGAGCTATTTTAATGTTACAAGTGGGAACCCATAAGGACTTGCGGGAGGCATCTTATTTCCCCCTCCCCACACTTATTTCCTTTTTCTCTTTCCTGAAAGCCCCCATAGCCTGTTCCCTTTTCCTGCTTCCTTCTTTCCTTCTAGAGTTGCCTGCCTCCAAGTGGGGAAACAAACTGCATACAACTGTGATATGATTAATACATTTAGTGTAAACAGTCTTATAAATATTTCATAAGCAAAGTTAACACCCTTTTTATAATTACATAGAAAAAGTAAAGTGCCTGTACCAAGTGTCTTGAAAGACTTCCCAAGGTTTTAAATTTTTAAGTCCTGTTCCATAATCAGTTATTGTCCATATTTCACTTGTGCACTGCATTCCCTGTGGCTCCACCAATGGAACAGCTGTGACTTACATTTCATTGCTTTCTCAAGACAGATCCCACCTGATCTCAATTCTGTAGCCAGATTCTCAATTCATTTGTTATCTCTAGGTTCAGTAAAGCTACTCAGAGCAATCTTCCTCTCAGCATCCTCCAACTGGGGCCTGGAGATCTCCCAGAATACCTACAGAGACCCCCTAGGGTTACCAGCTCCAAGTTGGGAAATTCTGGAATATTTGGAGGTGAAACCTTGGGAGGGCAAAGTTTGGGGAGGGAAGCCATTTCAGCAGGTTATAATGCCATAGAATCCACTGTCCAATGCAGCCATTTTCTTCAGGGAGACTGATCTGTTATCTGGAGAGCAGTTGTAATTCTGGGCGATCTTCAAACCCCCCCTCCATACCTGGAGGTTGGCAACTGTAGTTCTTAACCCCCTCATCTAGGAATTTCCTAACCTGGAGTTGGCAGGTTGTCTCTTTCCTGCCAAATCACCAACCTACCTTTATCTGCCCTCTGCCTTAAGCTTTCTCTATCTAGGAAAGCTGTGGCCAAGATGTGTGGTGCCGGTCACTGGGGCAGACTCACTTGCATGTTAGGGAACCCTCAAGGACTTGTGGAGGGCACTTCATTTTCCCCTGTATCCCCCTCTTCACACTTTTTCCTCTTTCCATCCTCCTGGCAATCCTGTATACTCTCCCTTTCCCCTACTTCATTCTCTCCATCTCAGCCATTCACCAGCCTACCGTTTATCTGCTTCCCACTTTCAGCTATATTCACTATTTTGTTTCCATTTATAACCCCACCTTTCTCCACAATGGGGATGAAAGCCGCTTAACAGTGTTCTCCTCTTCTCCTTTTTAATCTGCACCGCAACCCTGTGAGGTAGGTTAGGTTGAAAATGTGTGACTGCTCCAAAATCACCCAGGAAACTTCCACAGCAAAATGAGGATTCGAACCCAGGTCTCCCAGATCCTATTCTGAAACTCTTAACTGCTACACCACACTGGCTTTCATAGGGTGACTGCGGTTGAACAGTAGCAAGCAGCCAGGCCTGGTTGTGTCATGCAAGTCAGTTGATATCAAGTCACCCAGAGGTTTCTTCCAGGCCTAGGGTTGCCAGTCTCTGGGTAAGACTTGGAGATCTCCCACAATTACAGCTGAACTCTAGATGATATAGATCTGTGCCCCTGGAGAAAATGACTGTTTTGGAGGGTGGACTGTATGGCACTATTTTTGGCTGAGGCCTTTCCCCTCCCCTACTTTCCTTAGACTTCACCACAAAATATCCAGGAATTTCCCAACATGGAGCTGGCAACCCAAGGCCCAGCCCCAGTGAGTCCTCCCTCAAAGGCCAAAATAGGCCTGGAAAGGGCCCTTCTCTCTTCCCCTGCCTTTTACTGACAGAACGAAGCCTGGAATACTGTGGCTGCCTAGCAACAGCCACTGAGGGAAGCCATTGCTTAAAACTACAGATACACTTTTTATGATATTTGGATTTTTAACACCCCCGTCGGTGCGTGTTTTTAAATATTTCACATTTTTCTGCAAACCTGGGAGGCCTTTTCAGGTCTGTAGAAATATCTATCTTCCCCATTGACATCTCTAGTCACTGGATTAAGGATCCTCAGATCTGGCTGATTTCACTATTAGTATATGGAGCCACAGTGGCTCAGAGGTTAAAATGCTGAGCTGCAGACCGGAAGGTCGGTAGCTTGGCAATTCAAGACCCTAGTGCTGCGTGACGGTGTGAGCTTCTGTCTCTGGCCCCAGCTCCTGCTAGCCTAGCAGTTCGAAAGCAAGAAATTGCAAGTAGATAAATAGGTACCACTTCGGTGGGAAGGTAACAGTGTTCCGTGCGCCTCGGCATACAGCCACACCGGCCTTGGTGTTTAGTCATGCTGGCCACATGACCACGGAAACGTCTTCGGATAGGAAACGGAGATGAGCCCCACCCCCTAGAGTTGGATTCAACTGGCTTTCAAGCAAGGGAAACCTTCACCTTTATGTGGCTTTTGGGCACAGAAGTACTTGAGTAAAAGAAAATCATTTTTAAGCCATGTTCTAAACTATTAGAAACTCATAATTTATTTCATATCACTCTTAAAGTTAGGACCGTGAGGTTTTTTAAGACAACTATTTACGTTTCTAGCTGCATTTGCAATCATGTTTCAGGCCACTTGTTTCCCTTTGTTTCTTCCCAGCATTTGAGGTCTGGTATTTCAACACAGCAATTGTGCTGCCAGAGTACTGTCAGAGACCCTTATTCTACCCCTCCTCTTCTTCCCCCAGTTTTGGCCTCAGGAATGTGTGATAAGTGATTGCACCATGATATTGCATAACATGCTGTTTTGAAGATGCATAGGATCATCCAGGTGTGATACTGAATAGGCATTCTTATAAGTTTAGAGTATGTTTGCTTCTTATACTGTGCAAAGCACAAAATGGTAGCTCCGCCTTAGTTATCCCAAAAAAAGTGGTACAAAACACATGGAACTAGGTAGCCATATGAACCATCTATTCACATGTATCACACGAACAACCTTAAATATAGCGAACACGGTTATAACAACTCCACAAAATATTACATATCAGATCTAACCATGACAAAAATATTCATTAGTTCCATGTGTCTTACACTGTGCAGACATTATCTTTCTCTCTCCCATTCCCCAAGAAAATAACCATTAAATCAGGAGTGGGTAGCAGATTCTCATTTTTTCCTGTCTTGAAATTTAGAGGCAACAGTTTTACCAGATCATGTGGATGTGCTGTCTCCATGACCTTGGAATAAAGAATTTGGAGTATTAGAGCATACATAAAATAATTCTAGCATATGACAGTTTGTTGGAGGACAAGTTATAAATGAGGCTTGTTGTCTTTCCAAGTAATGAACTATCGCCTGTAAATCCATCCTTCTGAGCAAAATGGCAAGATCAAAGCCAAAAGGGACCAGCTACCCTTCAAAGTGATGCCCCATGAATTATCAGTCCGCGAAGAGATCAGTCTCTCCTTTACTCCCTTGAATGGGAAGGGTATGTGGCCTTTGGTTCAACGAACATGGAAGTGCAGTTAGTGAGAGTTTTGCATCTCCTAGCTGCTACCTGAAGATTTAGAGGAAGGTCTCCTTTATATTTGAAGAACCACTACCATACTGAGTATAGGCCCATAAGATGGAGAAGTAGGTAAAGGTGATGGCATTTACTGCCCCAACTGGAGTTGGTATCTTGCACACTTTTAATAATAGTTCCTAGATCCCATAGAATATATTTAGAGCAAAGGTACATCACTATCCTATTTTTATATTTAAGGCAAATTCCACATAGTCTGTGTTCAAGATACTATGCAAGGACCCACAAACAGTGGTTGGGATTAGTAGCCAGGTACTTGTTTTTTCTAGTGGCCAGTTGTGAAGTCCAGTCCCTCCATGATACTGCAAAGGTATACACTAGTTTTATAAGAATGGATCTGTTGTCATCTGAATGAAGCTGGATTTCTAACTTGGATTTTAAGTGGATGAACACATAACATTGACAGTTATTTCCTTTCAGTTACAACACTGACATCATATTTTTCTTCTCAGAGCTGTCATCTTTCTTACTTGCTGTTATGAGCTAGACTTGAAAAATATTTGCATACATTAAGTTTTGACACTCTAAGAAGTGGTTTGTCTAACGAGTTAGGAAGCCAAAAACTTGATGGATAAACAACTAGGAAATCCCCCCCCCACACACACACACACAATAGCGTGAAACTAACTAAGGCTGTGGCTACATTCATTTCACGATCAAGTAGTGTTGAGCCTCTGCAGTCCAGTGTATTGGCAAAATTGCCTTACAGCACTGACCACTGAAGTTTGGCAATAGGTGAGTAGGAAGTTATCCCCAGGTTTGGGAGATTCAGAAAGAGGATGGTGCGTGTCTTCTACCATTCATATTGTATGGGAGGCTTTTTGGTAGGATATAGAGAACAGAGGGTACATGCTCATCTCTGATTCCATTTTCCCATGGGATTAGATCCCCCCCCCTTCCAAGCTAAATGAATGCTTGACTCTTCTAGTTCAAAGGTTTGGAGCCTACAAAAACTTTATGAAATCCTGGTGTGGATATTGAGAGGCACACAGAGGCCTACCCTAATTCTGTCGTCTCTTCTTTCAGAGCATTATAAATGTTAGGACTCATGTAGGTTATGCCTTCTCACCCACCCACCCCAGATTGTTGAGTGTAGATAGCAATATGCATGTACAGTCCCTCATGCAAACTCTTTATTTGCCTTTTACTTTGAATTTTAAAAAGTATTGTTTTTACAAGGAAGGTGTAGAATACCCTACCTTGCATATGGATAGCCTCATTTCATTGCCTGGTTACTAGGTAAAGGATCATGGGAGAAGCATTCTAGTAAAAAGTATATTCATTTTTGTTTTGCTTATAGGTTGCATGCAACTTGAATCTTAGGTAAGCAAGCATCTTATGTTGCTAATGTTTATGTAACTTGTTAACGTGACCATTTTATAAGGTAATTATCAAGCATTCATATTGACAGCCATAGAAAGTCTTTAATGCAAAAACTGACAGAATGACACAGTAGGGTTAGTCTGTAACTTCTGTACCATTTTAAAAATATGTATAACTTAATGCTGTTGTACTCCTATACAAAACTAATGTCATTCCACAAACTTTTATGCCTGCTGTATGTTAAGAAAGGTAAAACTGGATCAAATTTAACTAGTATCTTTTTTTTTTTTACTATAAACATTTGAACACTTTAGAGTAAATATTGTATGTGACAGACCTGTGTATAGATGGGGGGAAATGTCCATTGGCTTTTCTAACCAACTTACCAACCTGCCATACAGCAGGGATGCCTATAATTACCCACAACTGACAACAGGCTGATAGGACAGTAATTACAAGTGTCTGATGGGTCTCCTTTCTTGTCTATTGGCACAATGAGAGCACAATGCCAAATCCTAGGCATTATGCCTGTGTCATTAACTTATGTAAAGCCATTGGCTTTTGACATTTCTGATTAGGCTGTAAAGAAGTGTCCTGGTCTGAAGGGACAATTTGATTTTATGAGTTATACCTGAATTATGAAACATGCCTTTCTTAGATCATTTTTATATCCCAAGTTCATATTTTGGAAAAGACTTACAAAGCAATGAAATGTCTTTGCTTTATTGGAATTGTAGTCAGATCCTATGCATATTTGCTTAGAAGTAACATCACATTGATTTTAATGGACTTCCAAGCATGTTTAGGATTGCAACCTTGGGATGGGTTTCCCATTGTAGTGGTACTGCTGAGAATTTTAGTGCACTAGCTGCAATCTTTTGTACAACTGGGACTGAATCCTGTTGAAATATGCGAGACTTTCTCTGGCTAAACAAAGATAAGATTGTGCTTGTAAATCTGGCATGCACATATTCCTGTATTTAATCATGGGCTTTTTAAAAATGCACATGAATCCCTCAACCATGGATTCAGAGATTGGTCTGGGCTAAATCACTTGTCTCAGCATCATTATTCCTTAACTGGTTGAGTTCTTCCAGGTCTTTGGACTGTTCTTCAGCTATGTTTTTCAGGGTTGATGTTAACATCTCTGAATGTGTAGTAATTCAGGCTTAGTCAGACATGATGGTGAGAGTTCTATGAATGGTATTGTGAACATTTTTCTTGAAATAGTAGCAAGTTCTGGCCAAATTGGATCAGGAGCTTTATACATAGAACAAGTAACATCTATGTAAAGCCACTTCAGGTCAGAAAAATAATGCAAGGGAAAGGCTTAGTGTGTACATGCATATGTGCATACACATACTTTCCTCATTCTGTGGTCCAGAGCTAATTAGGGACGGCATATTTCTGCTCTCTAAAAAGGAAGAAATCACAAGAAGCTCCATTCATGGCGCTGTCAGGTCTAGCTTGATAAGATTGTTCTAACATAGCCACTTTGAGCATATCTGTGGAGCAGCAGCATCTAAATTTTGTAAATAAATACAGTACATATGCAGATCAGCCCGTTTATGCCTCAAGAAATGTGGCACACATTTCTGACTCTACCTGTGAGCTACCAGTTGATCCTGAAGATCCAGTTAAAAAGCAAAACAGATCATACAGTCCTGAAGTCTGCTCACTTTAAGAATATTCTCTGTCACAATAAAATTCAATTACCACTGTACCTAGGTACAGATATAATATTTTAAAAATATTTCAATACTAATTTTAATACATCATTTAAAAAAGTGCTCGGTGATCGTGTTCTCTGAGGATTGTGCCTAGTATGATGCAAGGGTACCTTGCTATTTTCTCCCGCTGGCCTCAGGCTTCATGAAAGCTTGCAAAGTTTTGTTACTGTTTTACCTTAATCTAGAATTAATATAGAATTGCTGAAACAAGCAGATAGTTCCTATTGGAGGGAGCAGGGATGAATACTGATACTATAATGGTAGTTTCATTAGATTTTTAACTTTCTCTACAGGATGAAGAACCAGATTGACATGATACAAATCTCATCCCGCTATGAAAATTTACCAGGATACAAACAAATGCATATGGATACCACATCTGTTGTTCATAGTATCTTTGCTTTGCACCTCACTCCTATTAATTTGAGTGTTTTTAAAGGTAGGGTGATTAAACTACAGGTGGACATGATGGCCCTTAAAATATCTGTGCAATAAAATAATTCTTCTTTGAAATTTTGAAGTTTTTTTCATAAATTAAAAATGTCCTTGATGTAATCGTAAATTCTTAGAATGGAGATAACTGCCATTTACTACAGTATAGTTTGGGTTGCTTCACTAATTTGTGTTAGGGAACATTTGGCTGAAGCTGATTGTTTAATATTCTCTATATTCCTGACTTTCAGTATAATACTTTTTTCTCTCTTTAAAGCAGACATTCCTTCTAGAGACAGAGAATGTGTTGTATTTGGAAATACTGACAAAAAATCAGAAGTACAAAAGAAAATTCAAAATGTCTTCAAGGTAGGCTGCTTCATTTAATAAATGCTAAAACCTTTGCTTTATTTGATATTTGTTTAGATAAATCAATCTATTGGATCCAATATATTTTTTCTTTAAGCCCGTGGCAGGAGTTGATGTACTGCCTGATGGGAGGATGATCCAGACTCAAATTATGTCCATATCAGAAGCTCCTGAATTTGGACAAATGAGCCACGAGGTAACGTTATACATGTTGTGCTCCAGTACCTTGATACTTTTGATCAATTTGCAGCTGAGATTTTTCCAAATCCACTCATTCAAAATTATCTTTGTACTTCCATGCATATCAATGTTGTGACAATGTTTTGGAAACAACAGGTCAGCGTAAAGTGTATGGCAAATGATGATTTCAGGAGTTGTGTGTGCATCTCCTTGTTTCATCATGTCACTCGTCTTAACAGGCACACCATGCTAGTATGTGGAAAGGTAGATAATAGAGCCCAGTAGATCCCCATTGTCACCATTTTGCCTGATGTATGTGGGTAGTTTGTACTACAGTGGATCATGCATTGATGTTTACATAGTATATTCTAGATAAATATGCTTATTCAGGGTGGTATTTGCAGCTAACCAGTAGCTTTCAAGTACTAAACTTGGTGTCCTCTTTCACTCTAGGAAGTACGTTATAATTATTACATGGCACATCAAGTGGATAACTTGGAGAAACATACTTATACCTCGCCTCTAAATGGAAGGTGCATATTTCCAGAATCTCCCTGTTCAACTAACCAACCTCCAGAAGCTCCCCTTTTTTCCTTTAGTGCTAAAGCAAGTGATCTTAAACTAAAACCCCAAAAACAAGATGTCAATGAAACTAGTTTTTCTAAGTCACTTGGTTATCTGTTCAGCACTCCAGCTGTGAACTTGAATTTCTCTGGCTCAAATAATAATTTCAATTTATTTAACGTGAAAGGATCTCAGAAAGACAGCCCAAAAACTGATTCTTTGCTTACAACAGCACAAATTCCTGAGACTAATGCAGGGGCACTTTCCTTTGAAGTGCAAACCTCACTGACTGTGTCATCAGATTTACTTCCGGTGGCAGTGCCATCTGTAGCTGTTTTGAATCAGCACTCATCAAGTGTAGTTACAGAGCAAACGGCTCCAACTGTTTTTTCTTGTTCAAGTGGAAAGGCATCAACGCCCTCCCTCAAATACAGGAATTCAGTTTTTTCCACTGTTTTGCTAGAGAAACCTGAAAGCCAAAATAACGGAAATGACATACATGGGTATAACTGTCCAGCTCCAACTGAAGTTTCTGTTAGTACCACCACCAGTCCTAAGTCTGACTCAACAGATAGTGGAAAACCTTTATTCTCAGCTTTTTCTACCACTCCTGGATGTGGGCTCAGTCTGCCAAACAAACAACAGAGCTCATTTTCACTTTCTTCCCCTGTTCAGAACAAAAATGAAGAGAATCAGATCTGCTGTCAGCACAGGGAAAATAATCTTGGGAATTCCTCTGGTAAGAAGTTAAAAGGTAACTGCAATTCAGCTGATAGCTTGCCTTACAAATCTTCTTGCTGTGTTCTTGGGAAAGCTGGTGCTTCAGAAAAGCAGTCTGCACCTGGTGAGGTCTCAGCAAATTACTTTTGGGAAACCAACACTACACCTATATTTTCTTTTCCAGGTGGTGTCAAAAATAATCAGGATGCTCAGACCACCTCCATGACATCTGACAATAAAACTAAAAGTCCAAGCGACAAATCAAAAATAGAATCAAATGACCTCAAACGTTCAGCTGTAAAAAACACTTCTCCCTCAAGCAGTTCTAAAGATCTTAGAAGTCTAATGCATAGCTTTTCCTCTTTCTTCATGGAAAAGCTGAAGTCTGAAACTGAAAGTATTGTTGTTTCTCAGAAAGATGCGGCCAATGACAGTGCTGCAAACAAGACTTCTGTTTCAGGTAACCTCACTGAACTGAACAGTCAGTCAGAAAACCCTCCAAGGAATGAAAACACTAAGGAAGACCATGTAGGGTCTCATTCATTAAGGAATGGGGCAAACATGATAAATGCAGAGTCTGATGGAGAGCATCTAAGTCAAGCATCTAACTCGAATGACTCCATTGAAGAAAAGATACTTTCCAGATAAAAAGTGGGCTCATAGCAACGGAATACTTCTAAGCTGACTTTCAGAAATGTTGAAAGTTGTTAGTTTTCCTGGGAAGTAATATGATCAAATTTGCCTGCTCAAAATATTTTGGTAAAATGTCTGGTAAATATTCTCTAAAATATCTAGTAAAGTGCAAGATGCCAGTTCAACTTGTTTTTTCTGTTCTAAAATAGTTAATGCTTTTAAAAAAAAGTTAAGAATGCTTATATGACCAACAAATTGTGGTGTACCCACCTCTCAAAATGTAGGGCTCATTTCTGCATGAACATAATAGCTTGTGGTTTGCATACATTATGTCAATAGAAAAAGCCTTCTTTCATGCATCTTAAATACCAACACTTATATCTAGAATTTTCTCAGCAGCTACTAGACTGCTAAATTCTCATTGAGTTTGGATAAATATTAAGGACAGCTTCTCAAAGCTTCTGAATTATAGCCCTAACTATGGGAGGAATAGTGCACCCTATACACCAAAAACAGGAGCTCAGTGAACCTAGAAGATATAGTGCTGAACAAATAGCTTTTGAATTAAAACCAGCATGCCTTATACCAATTTGTTTTGTAAATCTAAACAACTTGTGGCGACAATTGTCTAAATAAATTCTAAAATGTTAGCATGTATTGTGTGCTTCTTTTTGTGAACTCAGTAGAGATACGTTGTGCCTCCTTGATAAGCCAATTTGTGTTACCTAGGAAGAGTGCTGGCATTCCTTTAGTATTGATATTATAAATCTTATGTGCCCTGCCTGCATAGGGGCAAAGTAGGCAATAGTCTTGTTGAACTTCCCCTCCACTAGGTTGGCTTTTCCACACCCACGTTCCAACACCTGCCTGTTTTTCTGAAATTGCAATGAGTAGAGAAAAAGGGAATGGCTATTGGAAGCAGAATTAACAGTAGTAGTAGTGGTACTGGGGGGAGATTGAACAAGAATAAGGAAGTATAAATGAAGTTAAAAAATCCTGTTTGATCATTGCCCATTTTGGATAGGTATTAGGAGAGTGTACTTTAAAAATTGTTCCCATTTAGTTTCATAAATTCAGAAAGAGAAGGGTTATCATTTTCATGATAGAGTATTGGTTTTATTTTGGGAAAAGGTTTTGTATTGAGGAGTACTAGGTATCTGCTGCATTATTTATGAGGAAAATTCTGATTTTTGGAGCATCTGTTTTTTAACCAAATGGTGCCACAATTCCAGGGAACCTAGTCTTCCCCCTTTACTAAAAGTATGCCCTCAGGTTTCAAGGGAGCTGGACAAAGGGATTCTACAGACCTTTGAAGGTGCCCCCATCCATCCTTGTCTCTGTTTCCAACTTGAACCCTTCACCCCATTGCTGTCAACAATGGAGGAAATCTGATCTTCCCTCTACTGTAGACCCTCCCCAGTTCTCCAAAAATGTTGGCAAAGGGGTCCTACTCCAGAGCTCCCTCAATGACAAAAACAGGTGCTGTGATACTTGGCCAGGTAAAAAGATTAACTTTTATGTTTCCAGAAGTTGCAGGTAGCCATATTGGTCCAAAGAAAAATCCACAAAATAGTGCAAGCTTTTGTTTCCTGGACCTCGTCATCAGGAATTGGGGGAGGGGGGATGTTTCAGGCCATGACTTGTGGCTTTCTCTTTTATTGCCTAAAACATCTTTCTTGCATTTGTGGAGAGCAGGTATGGGGGGATGTCTATTTTAGAGGTGAGGGGGGGAAAGGCAAGAGATTGGAAAGTTTCATTGATGAAGGCAGGTGTTGGTTTCAAGTGAACACTAAAGCAGGCAGGTAGAATTGCAAGCAGTGCTTTTGTATGTGCAAATTTGAGGCTTTCCCTAATACCAGCCCCGGAGTATTTAAAGAGTCAGGAAACACTTCAGCCAAGGTACCCTGGATATATTATTTATTTTATAGTGCTTTATGAACCAAATGTTCCAATGACTGATTAAAAAACATTCTGACAGATTTCTTATAAAAGTTACTCAGTGATTCATTTAAGTGTAAAATTAAGTGTTCTTTCAGTGTATCTAGGTAAGCATTTTGAGTTTTATCCAACAATTTTTTTTGTATCTGTCTACTTACTACAGCCTCCATCCCACATGACATTTGTCCATGCAGGTCCCATAGTTCCCATCACAATTGTTGTCTTTTTATTTTTTGTCAAAGGTGATCATTCCATCGTTTTTTACCAGCAGAAAAGCTGGCTGAATTTGCCCATTTTGTTTCCAAAATATTCTGCAGTGCAAATGGTAGGGGATTAGGGTTGGAAAGATTTTTGTGGATACAGTCAGGGAAGGACAGGTTGGAAAAGGTAGTGGTGAGTCGTGGCACTTTGATCTTTACCCACTTATGAAAGGGCAGCCACTGGTCCTGGACCAAGTACAATTTTTCCTTTAGGCAGTAGTAATCAACTACTATGGCAAATGCAAAAAATACATTTTGTACATATAGTTCTAGTTGAATCACTGGTAGAAATTTAGTTCCTTAGGATTTCAGTATGGACATGTTCAGCAGATCAGTGCTTTTGCTGCCTTGTCCTTTATGATTTCTCCAGTTTCTCCCAGTATTGTTCACTTAGTTGTTCAAATGCTTGCACAACATTATCATCCTCATTGTCACAAAGTTCACGCAAAGAAACACTGGAAGACAGAAGAAAGAGAAACAGCAATTATTAAAACAGTTCAAGAGAAGAACCGATAATTGTATTCTGATCCTAAGGAAAGGTTTGAAATGTTATAATATACAGGTGAAGTCTGTTGTCATTCCCCCCCCCCCTTTATATGCTATATGGTCTGAATAATACCTGACAGTCTGCTCCAGCCAAATGGCAGAGAACTCTGGTCCATCTTACATAGGTTGTAGTGATTTATGATGATGATATAGCTTCAATGACAGTAGAAAAGACTGTCTTCTGCAAGGAGTACAGCAACCTGGCCCATAGCAACAGTGGGGCTATTCAGGGCTCCGCCCCTTTAAACGGACAGGCCCACAAGATTCCCCCCTGGGGAAAAAAACCCCTTTTGCCTTTTAAAAACTTTTTTTTATAAGGCACACACTTGGCTTGCGGCCTGAACCACTAGGGAACGGAATCCCACCCCCTCCAGAAATTACAGCCAAGCTATTCAGCTGCAACGAGGCTGCGAGACTTGGGCAGGGAACAGCTGGTCTTGCAAGGAGTCCAGCAGCCCATGTCTCAGTGGGGCTTGGCAGGCATTCGTCAAGGCGAGTACTGGAGGGTGGGTTTTTATGCCCTGCAAATGTTGTATGTATGAGAAGGGCATGTTGTATGCGTGAAGAGCCCCCTTAAAATTTTTTAAAGCCCCCCAGGAAAAAAATCCTAGCTGTCTGCAGTCAACATACCCAATTAAACAATGTAAAGCATTCTAGTACACAGAGTTCTAGAGGAAAAGCTTGTTCCAGAAGTATTCTCTCAAGGGAGTATGTGATCACCCAAACTTCCACTGATTAGACAATTCTTATGCTAAAAGATACTTTTTTGTTTGTTTCTGAAGCCTTAAAATATGTTTTTGAAACAAACCATTTTAAAAAAGAACTGATGGCATGAGATGGCTGCTGCCAAGATGCTGTGCAGGGAAAATGCTGGAAAACCTGCAGCATAGAAACCTCATAAACCCATTCCCATGTGGAAAAATAGTTATGATGTGATTATTACAGAATTCTCCCTTTTGCTTATTTCTTAAGATCTGCCCCTTGGTTTTGATTTGGTTCCAAATGTGGCATTTTTGTGGCAACTGAGAATGTGAAGTCATTAACTAGAGTGCTATCTTTTGTTTGTTTTTCAGACGCACAAGAATTTAGGTACTGTTTTCCAAATTATATCTTGTTTTGATAATCTGTTGGTATGACTTTTGGCTCTTGGTGAATCACACAGTCTTGATCAGATGCTTGAACTATGTTATGGTTGGTAATATGGAGAAGAGAAAGTCGTCTGAGGTAAAAAGAGCAGTCTTCACAGATCTGAGCCCGTTCGCGGGGAGGGTGGGATAGAAATAAAATAAATCTACATCACCTGGATTCCTCACTGTTTATACATCACCATGAGTATATTTCTGCATATAAGGATGGTGGGTGTTGGTAAAGCTGATTTTCGTTATGAAAACTAAATGAGTTTTGAACTATAGGCATAGGCAACACAGTCATTTGTAGATGTGTGGCAAAAGCAAGTTGCTAACATTTTATCTTGTTCTAATCATGACTTAATTGAAAGCCCAATATTGCTATTGTTTACATACCTGATTGCTTTAAGGGCAAGGGCGAAGTCTCTCAGCAAATAATAAGCATCTCCTTCATGCAGGCTTTAAAAAAACAGTTGCAAAGTTAAGTCTCTATATAGTTTTATTATTCAAACAGTTACTATGCAAATGACTGTACAAGCAGTACCATTACTCTCAAACAAAAAAAATGTATTGAACTACGTTTTGTTAGAAACAGTCTAGGCATTTAACAAAATTTCCACTGAAGCTGTGTAAAAATGGAGGAAGGAAATCAATGTGGCATCTCTTCAGAACTCCTGTGCATTAATTGCAGCTTGCATGAGCCTCTGGATAAAAGATCCTGATACCTTCCTGAAACAGGGCTGTTATTGAACATGAGTGAAGATGACATTCATTGCATGCACTTTCAGCATTTCAATTAATAATAGTGATAATGAAATATGGAAGCCAATCACGTACCTGTTATCCTGTGCCATGGCTGCCAAAGATCCGTGTTTGTAGAAATCAAGAATGTATGCATTAAGTGGCATAATTCTTCCTTGATTATCATGCATCTTTGAATGGAGGACTGGTAGGTTTGCAGCAGTAATACCTATTGTGCGCAGTATGACCTGCCAGAAACAACATAAACCAATGTCTTGCTTCCAACTTTTAAATTATTGTGTAAGTTCCTTTGTTATATTGCAATAAAGCTGTCCTGAACCTACAGCTGGTTGGAGCCAAAGAAAACTGCCAACTACTGCCGTGAGGAGAGTGGGTTGATATTGCTCCACCACTAGGCCTCTGTAGTAGTCGCTTTTCAAAGCAGTGAGATTTTGCAGAACAGTTTGACATGGCATGGATGACTGCTGTTTGGGCATGCCTAGAGTTCGATATTTGTTTCTGAGCTTTGGGAGGAGGGAGAAGGGGGATTGTCAACAATTAAATAGAATAATACTTGCAGGCTTAATTTGCTACCGCACAGTGAGTTATTGTAACCATAGCTGCTTTTCTTGAACCACCACTTGGAGCCACAAATATTAATAATTCAGAAAAGAATGTTATACATTAAATCTTATCCTAGTGTGGTTATGTTTTTTCCTATACATTCTCTTATAAATTTGCCCAAGTTATTTTATATGAAAAAGTAGGCTCCTAGATACCAGGCTATCCCAATCTTATCAGATCTTGGAAGCTAAGCAGGCTCAGACCTGATTAGTATTTGGATGGGTAACCACCAAGGAAGTCCAGAAGTCCACCTCTGAATGTCTCTTGCCTTGAAAACCCCATGAAGGGTTGCCATAGGTTGGTAAAAGAAGTTTGGTTAATGCTGTTATCCTCGTACACCATGGGTATGAAAACACCACAGGATGGCCATAAGTCAGCTG